GAGAGAGAGAGAGAGAGAGAGAGAGAGAGAGAGAGAGAGAGAGAGAGAGAGAGATGTTCCTTGTCGACAACGGCGAAATTGATGGGTGTCTGTAGGCACAGAAATGGGATATGAACTTGTGGTGGCCCGGACGATAGGGGTCTTCAAGTTGATGACCAGATGAGTTGTCCCACTAGCCGTGATTAAGCGTATTTGACCGTCGATTTCGTCGATAAACGGTCCGAGACTTTATTTATTTATTTTAACGGTCAGAATCGCGTAACCCTTGCAGAGATGGAATCCTGACCCAGTGGCCAAGTCCCACTAGCAGCGTTGAGGTCCAATTTTCAGTCCAACGCCTGAATCTGGACCTGTTTGTGGAGATGTGCGGTTGAGGAAACTCAACGCGATTATTCTGCACATCTCCTCAAACACGTCCAGATTCGGGCGTTGAGGAAACTCGACGTTGCTAGTGGGACTTGACCCCAGAAGGGCAAAAGAGAAAGATGTTGTTGAAGAGGAGGAATCGTGCGCGATAACCGCTTTTTTTTTTTCTTCTTTTTTTGGTCGATTGTTTTTCATAATCCTGATACCCGATACGTGAAGGATGACACGCATAAATCGAGAAATGGTCCAAATTAAAAAAAAAAGAAAGTTTTTTCCCTTTTTTCTTTCTCTCTTTTTTTTTTTTGTGTTTTGTAAAAGAGGAAGAGGGAAAAAGCTTAGCCTTATTTTCGTGGCTCCGTTTTTTCCTGTTTGGATACTGGGTGGGGAAAGCAACAAGGAAGGTTCATTTATGCATTTTTTAATGATTTTTATTATTTTTTAAATTTAAATATACTTTTGTTTTCCAAAATGCAAAAAAGAGAAGTGTTGCCTTATGATCGTGGCTGCGTTTCATTTATGCATTTTTATTATTTTTTTAATTTAAATATACTTTTGTTTTCCAAAATACAAAAAAGAGAAGTGTTGACTTATGATCGTGGCTGCGTTTTCCTTTTTTGGATTCTGGGGAGCTTGGCCAGGCGACCCGGGCAGACCTGCCGGTCGGGGTTGGGATTGAGGGACCCGCCTGCCTGAGGTACTTGGGGCGACAGCAAAAGGGGGGTCAATTTTTTTTTTTTTCTTTCTTTCTTTCTTTCTGTTTTTGGAAATTGGGGCAAATAAGCGCCCACCGAGATGTAGCCCATTTTTTTTTTTCAAATTGTATTCCATCATTTGTTGACGTCTCACCAAATGGTGTTTTTATGGGATTAGAAGAGCTTAAAGGGGCTTAACAGGGTGGGAGGTTTTTTTTTAATAATAATTTTATTTATTTGTTAAATTGCTAAGCTACCAGCCGGGCATCCGGCCAGCCCGTGCAGGGACCAGGGAAGGTCCCAGCAAAAAGAGAAAAATAATAAAAAAAATCCAAAAAATCCACAAAAAAACTATGTTATGCAGAAAAATAAACTTGACAACTTTTGCCTCAGGTTCACATCGAAATTCTTCACCAAATTTAAAATAAAAAATAAATAAATAAAATGTTTTTTATTTTTATTTTAAATGCTTTTGGCCCGGCCGGGCAAGTGACCCGGGCCACTCTGGTAGCCTAGTTAAATTGTTATTTATTTTCAGTTTTTTTTAATTTTTAACGTTTTCTTTTTTTTTCGAGTTTAAATTTCACAACGAATTCTGGAATGACCCTCGGCCAAAAGTTGTTTTATTACCACCTGGCCTACCTTCTTCCCCCGAATACAACGTATGGTCATTATAGCTGCATCTGGACTGGAAATGTCGAAACATCACATGCTCGCAGATGTGGTTACTATCATAGGTACTCAGGATATTGTGTTCGTTGAACCAGATACGGCTATAATGACCGGGCGCTTTATTCCGGTGAAGACGTATGGTCATTATAGCTGCATCTGGACTGGAAATTGAACCAGGTATGGCTATAATGACCGGGCGCATTATTCCGGTGAAGACGGTAGCTCATTTGTTACACCTACTACTAACTGTTGAAATGCCGACCTGAGTTCGAATTCCAATGGAATGGATTCTAATGACCGAAAATTAATAGATGAGAGAATAATATATAGCTTAACTGAAACCACAAGTACTTGGCGCAGCTATCGGCCGCGGAAAAAAATAGAGTAGAAACGTTTCTAGTCGGATGAATTTGGGCGCTCCTGTAGTAGCCCGTACGTTTCCTAAAATCGTGGCACGTTAATGGGCACGACTCTAGGAAGTACTTGTGGTTAAAAAAAAAAAAAAAGAAAGCCCTCTGAATTTACCTGCGGCCTGGTCAGTTCGAAGATGATATCTCAAGCCCATCGCCCTTAAAAAAAAAATAAAAAAAATTATTTGCAGGTCTGCATGTCATTGTTTTTTTTTCCAGATTTTTTAAAATTTTGTACAGGGGTCCCCTGTATAGCCTTATTAGGAGTAGTGGTAGGTAGGGACTACTAGGTAGTGAAGTGAAAGAAAGATCATGTTCCATGATGACATGGCAGAACGCCAGTTAAAAATTAATTTGTGAGGTGTGAGAGAAAATTAATATTTTTTTATTTCTCTCGATGAGGAGACGGCAGCTTGAAAAAAAAACAAAAACAAAAAAAAACAAAACATAACAACAAAAAACAAAACAAAACCTAGGCTACCAGCCGGGAGGTCCCAGAAAAAAAAAAAAAAAAATCCAAAAAATCAAAAAATCCCGGAAAAAAAACTATGTTATGCAGAAAAATAAACTGAACAACTTTTGCCTCAGGGTCACATCGAAATTCTTCACCAAATTTAGAATAAAAAATAAAAAATAAAAATATATTTTTTTTTTGGCCCGGCCGGGCAAGGCACCCCGGGCCACTCTGGTAGCCTAGAACAAAACAAAACAAAAAAAAAAAACACGTGCCGGGCCTGTCCGGAACCTTGCAAGCGGGATCCAGACTGTGCGGCGGACCTGACCGCTGTGCTCGCAGTAGCAGTTGGTTGCCACAGAGAGCCAACTGCACACACTGTGAAGTCGCACGAAGCGGGGACTTGCCCGGGAGTTTGCCTGGACCCCTGAGCCACCCGGGCCACCCGGGCCACTTCAGAGGCAACCCGTATGGTACGGCTGGTTAATATATTTATTTTGATTATTTGTTTATTTAAAAGCTCTTCCGGGATACCTTAGAGCAGAGCATCATCCACTTTCCCCGTCTTGTCTCTCCTCCTCCCCCCCCCCCCCCCCCCCCCCCCCCCCCCCCCCCCCCCCCCCGTGTGCAACCCCCGGCACCCCCCTTTCCCCTCCGCACTCGTTCCACCCTGGGAAGCATCAGTCCAGTTGGTTCCCTTCTAAGGGCAAGCAAGCAATTAAGCAAAGTTTCAGTTTTTTTTTAATATACGAAATAAGAAAAAAATCACGTGTAAGCCGGTCAATGCCCAAGGAGCTCGTTAAGTGGGTTTTTTACGCGTGTAGCAGCCCCTACTTAACCCCCCCCCCCCTTCCTCCCTCCTCGTGCCGGTCATAACGGTGATATACCCATCATCAAGGTCACTATATTTGTCTGTGTAGCCGTTGTTGTTAGCACCAATCAACTTTGTGATGGGCACGATGGAAAGAACGACGAGATTGCCACGTGTCCAACGTGGAAGCTTCCAGCATGCTCATTCCCAGCGTGGCAATTCCTAGCATGCCATATTCCAGTCCAGCATGCAACGTGGAAACAGGAGATTTTGCCGCGTGGCACGTTCCTGTCCAGTGGCAGTCATCCCAGCGTGCAATGTTGAAGCTAGGAAATTGCCACGTGGCACGTTCCAAGCCCAGCGTCGCAACTCAACAGCGTGCAACGTGGAAGCTAGGAATTGCCACGTGGCACGTTCCAGTCCACGTGGCTCCTAGCGTGCAACTTGGTAGCTAGAAAATTGCCACGTGGCGCGTTAGCTAGGGAATTGCCACCTGGCACGTTAGCTAAGAAATTGCGACGTTGCACGTTCTAGTCCAGCGTGGCAATTCTTAGCGTGCAACGTGGGAGCTAAGGAAATTGCCATGTGGCATGCAATTTCCTACTTGGCATGAGGGCGATGTCCACCTTGGTGCCTTTTTTTCCCTTGGTCGCCTTTGGTGCCTGATCTCCTTTGGTACCTTGGTCCTCCTTTGGGACCTGCTCNACTCGGAAATTACTCAGAAGTTACTCTTCTGCAACACCAAGAGTATCTCTTCGAAAGATCTGCAACAAAGCTCAAGAGGAAGCCATAGCCAGGCTAACCCTGGTGATGGCTGTCTGGCTTCCCTCGACCGGTTTCGGCTAGAGCCAGTTCTAGCCTTATCAGGAGGGGTAAGTATCTGAGGTAGGAGAAAGGAAAAGCCCTCTCTCTTAAATAGTAGCAAATGTAACTTCTATCTAGGCATCACGTAGCTAGTAAACCACTGAGGTAAGTTCTCCTTCTTGGCGCGAAAAAATACGGAAAGCTGAGGTCAGTCTACAGGCAGTACTCCCAAAAAACGAGTTACGCTGTCTTGTCTTTCGTATCCTGTACTCAAGGCGCGGTAACTTTGTAAACTGGTCCAGGGCAGGAGTATCACTGTTCTTGGCGTCGGAATTATCCGCGGGATTACTTGAAAATCCTAAGCTGCGGAGATAAAACAGAAATAAAACAGAAATCCCACGTCCAGATCGTAGTCCGCATGTTCAGGAAAAAGAAATCGGGCTAGGCTCTGTATTCCCGCCATCTATAGGTCAGTTTCCAGGAAGGACTCAGCAAAAACGAGTAAGGCCTGTAGTTATTCGTAGTCGGTAGATCAAAACCCTATATCTAAAGATCTAACAAAGGACAAACGCAGTATCTCAGCTTCCGCCTTGGTGTTGTTTGTAGCCTGTAAATCAAAAACTTTTTTAACTAAAGATCTAGCAAAAAGACAAACAAGAAAAAAAACAAGAAAAAAACGCGGTAACTCTATTCCAGTAAGAATGGCCGAAGTTTAAAAACCGCTTTACACTCAAGAGTCTTCCCCTGAAGAAAAAACCGGGAAAGTCTCCTCTTTGAGTCGAGTAGATCCAAAAGCAATCGTGGCTGGAAATCTGGTTGGGGCTCAGCAGATCACAACAGCCCGCAGATGAGGGTACTAGAAATTACCAGCCACAGAGCTTTTTTCCCCATTTGTCCCATGACGGGGCTTTAGTACGTATGAATTTTCTCAGGCATTCATTGAAGTACTTACCTGGGTAGCCTTGCAGTCGAAGTAATCGTTTCAGGGTAAGTAAATTCACGCCCGTCAGTTCCACCTCAGAAGTCATTTGGTAAATTCTGTGCAGGCAGCTAGTGATTACAGCTTTTTTCTGGGGAATCGCAGAGTACGATGCAAAGTCTTGGATGGTTCTGAAGGTGGGCGCTCCGTCCTTCCAAATCTCTTTGTAGTTCTTCAGTACAAGCTGGGTCGTCACTTTCCCTCCTATTTCCGCTGTAATTTTTGTCCCCAGGAATTCCYACTCTCCTGTACCATCATCTGTTCTTTCCAGTGTAAGGGCTGGGTCGTATGCACATCACAAAACAAAAACGATGCTTCGAAGGTAATGGCTCCCCAAACAAAACACTCAAAGATAAAGGGAAAAAAGGCTTGGCGGAATATGATAGGGGAGTTCCTTATGCTTTTTCTTTCTTTTGTGCTTTTTCCACTTTTCTGTTTTTGCGGGCGAAGCCGCAACGGGTCATCTAGTGGGTATAATGACAATAAAAAAAGCCTGAAAGGCCGTCCTGTCCAGATTTGACAGGTAATTGAATTGGTTGGGCTTAAAGAATTAGCCTTTTAAAACCAAACAAAAAAAAAATATATATTTTTGGAGAAGATGCATGCCCAATGCGAGAATCCAACACACAACCAGCGGCTTGTCAGGCCAACACCTAACCAATAGGCCAACCGGGCTGGGGTGAAAGTGACGCCCCTCAGGGACGCTGGGCCCGATTCCCAGCATGTGCCACTCCCCACAAATAGAATGGAGCTCTGTGTCTTTGTTTTAAAAAAAAAAGAAAAAAAGTGAAGCCCCAAGATGAGTACTTCAGCCCAGCCCAGCAGGGATTGCTCCGCGATACAGTGTACCCAACCAACCACACTCATCCCCCCGTCTCATAGCCTCACATCCGTAGTTCAATATCTACGGCGGTTACGCATTAGCACTCGTATCTTGATGCTGGGTGACTTTTATCTGCCCCCCCCCCCCCCCCCCTTTTTCCCTATCTGTGTGTGTGGGGGGGGGGGTGGGTGGGTGGGTGGGTGGTTGTGTGTGTGTTTCCTTTCTCTCAATTTCACCTTTCACTACCCTACCTACCTTTGTTTTTTTTTTGGCCTCCTAAGCCTATACAGGGGACCCTTGCAAGCATAGCTACCTCTCAGAATCAAGGGGATACATGTTCGCCCCCACCCTAATGGGCGGTGGTCGAGGGAGCAACATGGTAGTCTTGGTACAACCCCCTTGGTTGGTGTTGGTAGGGTCTTTGGCCGTCAGGTGTGTGTTGTCAGGTTAGGTATACAGAACTCCACAAGGAAGAAGAGCATGACTGCGCAAGACTGTGGGCGTCGCTCCACTACTTTGGAAATGCACAAAAGACAAAAAGCATGGGGATGTATCTTTCCTCGTTCTAGCGGAAGATTCACTCTCGTTTTGCACATTTCGAGAGTCGTGGAGCAGGCCCTGTATCAGGAACTCTGGGCTTCTCTGGGCTTTCCTTTTTTTTTTTGAATTTTCTATTTTTAAGCTACCAAAGCGGCCTGGGTCCACTTTCCCGGCCGGGCCAAAAAGAAAGAAAAAAATAAAAAAATAAAAATTAATAATTATTTTTCAATTTAAATTTGTATTTTACATTTGGTAAAGAATTTTGATGTGACCCTGAGGCAAAAGTTGTTCAGTTTATTTTTCTGCATGACATAGTTTTTTTTTCGGATTTTTTGAATTCTTTTTTTTGTTTGTTTTTTTGGCTGGGACCTTCCTTGGTCCTTCCACGGCCGGCCCGCCCGGGAAATTAGGGTGACCCGGGCGGCCCGGCTGGTAGCCTACCTAGCCCCCTAACCTTTTTTCCCAACATCATTTTACAGGTTCGAGGGAGTGGCTTTCAGCTTTAATGGAGGAAACCGGATCGTGCAATGTTTTTTTATTTATTTTTAATTTTTAATTTTTGAATTTTTTTATTTTCTTCTCCCCCTAGTCTTTTGGCCCTAACTTTTTTCCGTAAACTTTTTTCCCATTATTGTTTAACAGGTTCGAGGGAGTAGCTTTCAGCTTTAATGGAGGAAAGGATTCCACAGTACGTGACCACCGATCGACCTTCTCTTCCTTTTCTTTTAACTCTTTTTTTCTTTTCTTTAGTCTGACCTATTGTTGATCTGATAATCTGTCACTGCCATTTCCTTGTCCCCAACCGGACACCCCCCTCTTCCCCCTCCCCCCTC